TTTTTTTTTCTTCTTACACCAAGACATTCATGACTGCTTCCCATGGAGATTTTCCTCCTTAGACATTTTGAGTTGAAAAGTTCACACCATCACTTCACTGCTAAGCAGAAGCCTCAAGTGAGCCTTGATACCTCTATAACATCGCTTACAGTGCAATAAATTATTTATTATGATCACAGAATTCATGAGAATAACTAATATAACTGAGAATTACACCAGTACCTGTTCTGGACTGTTGGTCCTCCAGTCTGTTACGCTCTTAGTGATGGTGGGCCACGGTGCTTCATTGGCTGAAGGGAGAAAGCGGCAGAGAGTCAGGGAGCCGAGGAAGGGATCAAAACAGGAAAGGAAATTAAAGTGAGAAAGAAGCAAATAAATCCAAATGGAAAAGACAGATGAAAAAAGATACTATGAACGGTTAAGTAACTAAAAAAATGATCGGTTAAAGGGAGTGTATATAATGTGTATTTGTTGCATATACATGTATATTTTAATGCTGCTAAAATAGCATACACAGAGCATGTCTGTAGTTTACTCGGCAACATAAATCCAAGCGGACAATGCACTGATTCCCAACCAGGCCTACTCCAGGCGCTTACACCTTTCACTTTTCAAGAGTTACAATTAAATTAAAAAAAAAAGGTTCTTAGCAAGAAAAAGTGAGAAAATTAAGAATGAATGGTTGAAAAGGACATCTAAAATAACAATACTAAGTAAAGGTAACTCATCAATACTTAAAATTTGTAGCCAATATAATGTAAGTTGTAATAATGCACAGTGACTGACAATAGCAGTCACAGAAAATGACTCGTGGCTGCAGTTAAACTATTTTTACTAGAAGAATAAAACCTCTAAAAAACAGGAAGCCGCTACAATCAGGGTTTAAAACAGAACAAAACTCTACAATGTGAAGTTTAACTCAGCCTCTGTCTCTGCAGAGGTGTTGTTACATAATAAACTGGCTCAGTTCAGTGCAGAGTCACAGTAGTAAATCTTCAGCCACTGTTGTTTGTGACAGCTAAGGTCAACAGCCTAGCTCAATGCTTTGGAATTTCATGGCAACTTGGCCACACCCTTGAAGACATTTAACAGGAAATAGCTTTGTGAAGAAGTCAGGTGATCTTCCAAGGTATTGCAGAAGTGGAGAAGAAATGACTGATGGAGATCCACCATCAAAGCCGTGGCGCTAAAATGGCTAAATAAGTGCTGCTAAATAAAATTCCACATAATGTTAAACTCCAGCAGCCATTTACAAACTGTTACCTAACCATTTCGCCCAGTCACGTCACAGTCCTGGCTCATACCAGACTAATACTGATTAACTCTTCAACCCAGGAGCCACGCAGTCTGTACAGTAAGTTGTGCTGCGAAACCTGTTGGCTGCTTTAACCTGCTGACCTCGGGAAGAAAACAGTCACGACAGGAAACAAGCAGTCAGTTCTGTGAGAGGTGGAAACTTGGCCGCCTGCCCCTGAGAGCCCAGATTAGAAGCAGTCACTCAGTGTTATAGAGGAAAGACAGTTTACAGCACAGTCACGGTACGTCCTGGTGCAAACGACAAACGGGTCATGCAGTAAAGCGTTTCAGCCTCACCACTCAAGTCTCTTTAGTTCACCATTTTTAAGCGTTTGAGTTTGATATTCTGTCTGTAAAATATGATGTTGCCATAATCAGCAGCCACAGCATTTAATGCAAACAAATGATTAAATGCAATGCTCTGCTGAGAAATCTCTCCTCCTGCCTTTGACGTAGATAACAGCCCAGCTCTGTATCTGAACAGCATCATGGTGGCTCTGTGGTTCCAGGCAGACCATTCTGTTTCTGAGTTCTCCCCTGTGAGCTCCAGTTTCTCTCTCCATTTAAAAACATCTAATTTGATGCTGTGAGGACGCTTTCACAAGAGAGATTTCACTTCCTGTTTAAATAAAGGTTTGGCTGAAAAACTGCACGCTCATACAGTAATGAAATCACTGTATGTAGCCACACATGCTAAAGCATAACCTGATTTATAGTCTATTTTTCTTTAAATGCGAACGTGTTTTACAAGATAAAATCTTTTCGTATTAAAAACAGAGCGAATTCACGACAATGTTTTTGAAACGTGAAGCGTAATTTTGATCTTCTTTTGCTGCTGGTTCAGTGAATTTTGGTCGGAGAGAGACCAAAGCTGCAGTTTCGGAATCTGTGAGATGTCAGCTTTCAGCCCCGACAGCGTGTCCGTGGACGTGCCGTCAGGTGAACGGTCCACACTTTGTGTTTACATCTTTTTGCGGAATCCGTTTACCTGCTCTTTAATAGTTCTGCTGGTTGTTGAAATAGTTTTGTGAGCTTTAACATGAGATGCTGGCATTTCTCGCAAAATACATTTATATTCAAAAATCAATTCAGGATTTAATGAATCGATATTGTATTTTTCCAAACTAAAATCGATTTGAATCGGAGAAAAACGATTTTTTAAACACATCACAATTATTGAGGTCATATATAAGAGAGGATCACGATCATTTTCTCACAGACTTTTATATAATCTGACTTCTATTTACAGCTGGAGAAGTCGCACCCTGATGGCCATGAATAAAAATGCAGCTTTTCAGAGCCAGACTCAACAGCCACCTTTCATATACAGTCACATTACAAAAACTGCTTACAAATGGCCTCACGTAATGAGAAGGAACTGAAGGAGTTCACCAGAAACAGATCCAACATCTTTCACCCAACCATCAGGATGCACAACAGAAAGCTTTAGATCCAAATATAAAATTATTATAAAAAGTAGTGTAATAAATATCCATCGTTTCAGCACTTTCTAGCAAATATGAGCCAGTTTTGTTTAACATATTTTAAACAAATAAATGATTCCTTGCTTTGCTTTTTTTCTGGGCTTAATCTCCCCGATGACATCACCCTCTCACCTAAAACCTCTTGTTATCCGACTCCCTCACACACTCATCACACGTACTAAAGATAGTTACAATTCAGGCTTTCTCTCATTCATGTGCAATGGCCCCCTGCCCAGTAGACTGTTGATTTGATTTACAACTACGAATTTTCCGCATTACATAAGCAGCGACATTAATAGAACTGTGGCATTTGCTTTGGGATTCAAGAACACAATGGGTGTTAAAACAAAGCTGGTTGAAGACTCTTTATTTTACTTCAGTGTAGGTGAAAAAAATAGATATCGGCAGTTTAAATTGTGTTTTTCCACACTGTGTAGGAAGAGATGTCGGAATAAATAAACTCGAGTCTAAAGCCAGACTTTGGTTTATTTTCTGAAGCTGTGCTTCTTAACCCTGAGCAGCTGTTGGCTATCAGATGGCATGTCTGCACCCTTGTACACTCGACCTTTACAATTTAGGGTCCTTTGAGCAGCTGATTCAATTATGTTTTGTCTCTTTACCATCTGGTCTGCATAGCGGTTTAAACACGAGCGTGCTCGGTTTGAATGCATCCACTCTGGGAGTCAGATTAAGAAAATGTGTGCTGTGAATGCCTTTTTCTATTTTGGGTCTTTACAGCTGGCTCCAAAAGTGAGTCAGTCCCTATAAACTCCCGTGTTAAAATGTTCAAGTTTACAGCAGATATGAACACATTTAGAACCACATACACAGAAATTTTAAGCTCTCTGTATTAAATTTCCCCTTCATGACAATAACGGAGGTCAACTTTTAGTAAACTCAGTTCCTTAAACTGAACCGCTCAACTACATCTGTGGCATTTTGGAACATACTGGAATCTTTTTAAAATCCATTATCTGAAAATGACAGTGATCGCTATGTAGACTGCTGGACTAACCTCCTAATTAACTTGCACTAATTAGCAGGAATACAGTCTATGATAACTGCTCATGAACATGTTTTTCTGACACACACAGAGACACACACACACACACACACACACTTATTCCTGGACAGAAAAATAACTTCTTGCTGGACTGGGATGGTTTATAAATCGAATAAAACATCTTGCTCTGAATGAGCACCATCACTGGATCTTTCTAAAAAAAAAAATATATATAAAATAGTGTCATACCTAGATTTATTTCCCACATATTCAAGCTTTGATTGATTGATTTGATTCGAAACCTCTGACCTGATTTGAACCGATTTAACGAATGTTATGTGCCTTGTGTATGAGGAGCTGTACACAAAATCTCAGTCTCCTACCTGCAAAACTGTGTTTTCTACAAGGCTCCAAATCTGCTGTCTCAGATCACACGTCTGACATTAACTTTCTAGGTTAACTCAAGCTGCGTGTCTCCAGTTACTCTCAAGAGCAGCACCCTGACCTCCTTAGAGGCCATATTTACAGAGCCATACCACCAAATATTCACCCTAAAAAACTCACACAAGCAGTTTCTAGATAACAGAATGTTTAAACGTCTGCTCAAAAAATCTATTAAGTGAATCTTTCGAGTGGTCATCCCCTTCTTTTTCACATAAACATGTGGTGCTATGTTGAAATAATATTATAACCTATAAACTAATTTTCACTACTATCCCATACACTGTTTTGATACTTTACACTTGGATTTGTGTAAGGTGACTTTTGGCAACTGAGCAACTTGTTTTTTGTGTAAAAACGAGGAGTTAAGGCTGAAGGTGCTGCTAGCATCGTGCTATCACCAATAAACCCAGCGGTGAGTAAGTGTGTTTAGTGGTTTCTCCTGGACTCACTGTTACTGTCGCCCCCCTGAGGGGACAGAGGCCCCTCCCACCGCTCAGTGGGCTCTGACAGGACGATGTCTAAATCTGACTCTTTCCATTGGCTGGGAGGCTTCCTGATGGCACTCCTCTCTTCCTCTGTAAGGCCACACCCACCACCACAGACAACACCAACCACGAGACAGTAACACCCACCAAACAACAGCACAGACGTAAACATCACCACCATGACATCGGAATGACGAAAACAACAGCGAGACCCACACCAGCACCACAACACATTACAAAACAGCAATCACAGAACCACCACATTAAATCATTGAACATTGGAGAGAACACCGACAGAGAAGGGGAAGAGGGAAAAAACACGACAGGAGAAAGAAATGGAAGAAGAGCAAGTTAGAGGTCAGACAGCGATATAGACAAACCAAGTCTGGTAAAGCACAGAGACTTAAAATGGGGGAAAAAAACAAAACAAAATAAACATCCACCAACCTGAGAGGGAGCGAATGTGGCTGAGAGGGGTGGGTTTGGGCGGTGGGTCAGCTGGGAGCGGGTACCCTGGCTCTTGTCTCCCCTCGGATGGAACCTGGATGTAGGGGCAGACAGCTGCCACTCGACCCGAAACTCCAGCACCGGGGTGGGAAGAGCTTTGAGGGGAGGACAGAGTGCCTCCATTCATACGACTTAACTGAAGTGGACACAGAGACACCCAGAATGAGACTCATATAACATGATAAAGAAAGACCAGACTTCTTTGCAGACTGCACCTCTGCTCTCTTCTTATGCAGGCGTTCTCTCAGGTCACCGATGCGTTGATCCATCACGGTCACCTGGGCGTTCCTCTTGTTCAGCAGCTCCTTATTCTGGGCCAACTTGCTGCTCTGCTCCAGATTGTGCCGGTTACGAGCCTTAAAAACCCCCAAAACGTTTTACTCACATTTATGATTTCTGACACCCAAAGCAGGCAGGAGAAGGTCGCACTAAACATCTTTTTTTCTGCAATATTTTTATTATGTTTTTGATTGGTTTTAAAATAGCTGTGATCAGACAGCCACATTATATCCACTGTAGGTACCAAACTAGTATAACCTCATGGCATTTACAGTGTTTATTGCATTGCTTATTTGCATGAGCTTCTAAAACATATTGTTCCCACATGCTTAGATGGTTTGGTGGTGCAGCGGAGGTGTTGGTAGAACAGGTGTCCTTTGTTTTTCCAACCAGATTGAGACATAAACATTTACTACACATCTTTTCAATTAGCCGTAAAGATTGCTTGGCAAAGGCCAAGTGTTTGCTCAGGGTATAGTTTACCTGCAGCTCCTGGTAAAGTTTCCTCAGCTCCAGAGCTGCAGGGCCTGAAAGAGGCGATCCCTTATGACCAGTGCCTGCACCCTGGGGTCCCGTGGGTGCCCCCTGACCTGGTGCACCAGAGTGTAGCTGCAGGCGTCCTCTCCTCAAATCCTCCAGCTGCTGAGTCAACTGTTAGACCAAAATTAAATACATATATGTGCACATATATCTTATCAAATCAAATCAGCTTCAAAGTTTATAGAAACCAAATAAATTTTCGTACCTGGTCGACTCTGATCACCGCAGTCTGCAGCTCCGCCTGCTTCTCCTGAAACAGGCTGCTCACATGGTCGATCTCTGCAGCTACACACAGAGAGCAGGACGTCAGATTGAAATTACATCGCTGTAGTTATTAAGATTTTTAGTGCTCAGATTCTACAGAAATACATATAAACACCGAGCACACTGTAAGTGACTGAGTAAATGGTCAAAAAAAATCCCTCACGCTGCAGCATCAAGGCTTTATGAGGTTAAATTCATGGTCTTTTAATATGCAGTCGTTTACTTCAGGGCCTGTAATCCACAGTCACCAACTCTACAGTGTTACAGAGTGTTTAGGCTTACAGAGGTTTCCGTTGATCAGTTTGCTGTAGTCGACTTGGCCTCTCATGGCTCGGATCTTCTTCAGCTTCGCTTCCTGCGTCTCCACTCGCTCTTTGAGCCGCTGCAGCTTCTCAGCTTCAGACTGAAAAAGAGAAGTCAGTGTTTAAAGTGGTTAAAAACTCCCCATACACTCAGGTGGTGGCAGTTCCAGTCATTTAGGTATACTGAAAGGATACCTGCTCTGTAATTTAACTAAAATGTGACCCAAGATGCAGAAAAATACATGTTTTAGTTGATTATTTACTGTCTCAGTTTCAGGAATAAATGCCTACAATGTGTTTAATTTGAAGATGCTCAAATGAATTCTGAAGGTTGTCCAATGAAAGCGCAGGTATTTGCTTTACTTGGAAAATACTTGCAGACAGCAGTAATCAACAGACAGAGCTTCAGCACCTGTTAACATTTAGCCCTCTGACAGACAAACAGGAAACTTAACCTTCAGCGAACTGGCCTCTAGGTAAGACTGCAGTCACATTATTAGATATAAACCACATAAAGGAAGCAGTATGCAGATTATTGTATTTTAAACTGTATTAGTTTGATGAATATATTGCTCACACAATTGTGAGTAAAGCAACAAAGCAAACTTTAAATAGGGTGTCCTTGTGCTGTATAGACTCAAAGAAGACTAACAGAGGTGTGGATCGCACCTGTGACTGTCCCTGGTTGGATCTGCCTCCTTGCTGAAGATACCTCAGTCTCTGTTCCTGCAGGAAACAAAAGTACAGTGAAAGTAGAGTCATTTCCAGACTTTCATTTATTTCATTTGAAAAGTGGCATGGCATTTTCAGTTTTAAAGACACTAAATCATGTTTTGCAAACCCAGCCAGAAAAAACTAAAAAGTACTATTTTTATATTATAAAAATAAGATTATCTGGTATACCAACTAAACTTAGCGAGGTTGAGCCCTTTTTCACTTCGAGAACCTGAAAGCCTGTTTTCTGAATCAGCTCACTGACTGAGGAGGATCCTACACAAACAGAGGAGCAACAGTGGCATTTGTTCCAGCACTTCAATCAGCAGAATTCAAATTTGATAAACGTGTTGGTGTTATTTGGTTACATTTTCAGCACTGCCTGTTAAATCCAACTAAATGACTATAGAAATGAAAACTACGTTTCAGGTGGTTTTAAAAGAGCATCTGACACAAATATTTTGGGTCTTTAATGAATTCAGGCCGGTGCTGTCGACTGATTGGCCAGTTTGCTGTCTGGCTCATTATTTGTCAAGCTGTCATTCAAAAATTTCACGAGTTCTCAGTGAAAAACAAATCACATTCAGTTTATGCACCGATAGCAGAATTATTTCACGGTGCTCATGAATTTGATTTCCTCTGTGACCTTTCCAGGGAGTGCCCAACGTTTCGCCCTGTGACAGATGAAATAGGCCCCAGACCCCCACTGCAACCCTGAATTGGTTGAGTGGTTAAGAAGATTAATGGAAAGATGGATAATATTTTCTGGTTTTTGGTGCTTTGAGAACACATGCATGTGTTTTCACATTGTTCCCTCTCATTTTGCACACCTGCATGTTAATCTTATTTTTCATAAATAAAATCTTATTTCAAATGTTGGTGAAATAGATGAGTGTGCCGCTTCATACCATGCATCCTGTTGTACACACATAATACCAGATTATATATATCAGCAGCACTAGCACCAGCAGCTTATTGCCGTGTTTAAGTGTTTATCTTTACTCTACATAAAACATGCATTTTCTGGACCATCACATCTGCAGCTACACACAGCCGTCATCTATCTCAACCTCAACCTTTACTTGAGCCATAAGATCTTAATAAAGCTGAAACTGTAAGTCAAACTTGGAGGCACCAGTTACCCCACTCGTCTAATATTTTACCAAAGAACAGAATGTCAGATTCCTCATTAATGAGGAATTAATTAAAGGCTGGCATCACTTTACCAGGAGCAACAGTGAATTGGAGTACTTAATGACTTAAGTACAGTTTCCACAAACTGCAAAGAAATCTAGTGGGATAAACTGGGCCCTTTGGTGTGCAAGTACTGGTCCGTGGTCCACATGTTGGATGCCCATGTGTTAGACCTAACAGTCAGCTGGTCTTCTGCATTCATAAAATATGAATTATTCATTTAAACGAGAAGTGTTTTCAGTGCTGAATAGTGAGGGCAGGAACACTTAATCATCTGGCCGTGCACATCCTTAGTCAACAGCATAATACTATAATAACTGCCATGCATGCAGTTTATTTTCACCCGATCATCACATCCAACTCCGAAGACCATCAGCTGCTATTGATTTTCATTTAAGCTTGTGTGTATCTATGTATCTGACACACACAATAAACTACAGTGAGGAGACAGAGAAAGGCTGTGATGTGTGATGCTGACTGAAGCAGTTTACACCACTCACTCTGTATTTTGCAGGTACATAGTACGGCTGACCTGTGTGTGTGTGCGTGTGCGTGTGTGTGTGTGCATGCGTTTGTGTGTCTCTCTCTTTCACATAAACACACAAAGAGGAGGAGAAAAGGGCATGTTGGCAGGAAGCTGCCCTGCTAACACATTACATAAGAGAAGGGTGTTTAATTACAGACGTAGTGCAGGAATAAAAGTTTTTATGTTTTCAACTTTTTATTTTCCAGGAAGTCATCAATCTACGTTTCGTTATATTAATGTTGAGAAGACAGAAAATGTTTCTACATCAGCGCCTGGGATTTTTTTCATCCAGCAAGGAAATGCTTGAGCAAGCTGGAAGGAAACACTTAATAGCTGTCAAATTACAGAAGCAGTTAAACTGCTGCTTTAAAAAAAAAAAAGCTGGATATCAGCATTAAACTGACAGGCAAAAGAAATCACTTCCACAGCAGTCTTGAAAAACTCAAAATGGCCAAATAAAAGTTTGTGGTTGATGCATTTTATCGAAAACTTTACCAAATGAATGCCGTTTGGCTCACTTTCCTGACTCCTTCCTGGAGTACAATACTGGGTAAACTTCCCAGCAGCTGTAGATCCCTGCTGAACTCATTTCCTGCTAACTCAGAAGGCCACTTCCTGAATCTGGGGATGGGGCTGAATGACCATGATCTGTGTCTCCAGATATTTTCTCACATGTGCTGCAGCCCTGAAGCTTTCGAAACATCAGCCAAAAGAGTCAAAAGTGAGAAAAAGTCGAGTTCACACCACATCAAAAAAGAAGCATCTTTACCCCTTTCTTTGATAAAGACCTCTGTTCTGAATCCAGGCAGTATTTGTTTATCCCCAAGGGGCAATTAACATACAACAGAGCAGCATAACGTTGACGAGAAGGACAATAAGAACAAGCAATAAGAGTGAGACAATAAATAGACAGAATATACAGTTTTAAAATTACACAGTTTTTAAATTAAAGTGACTGAAAGAGGGGGGAGAGAATAACATGAAAGCATGGGTCTATGCTGCCTTGTATCAATGCTTCATGCTTGTGGTGGTGGTTTAATGGTGCAGGAGATATTTTCCTGGCACACATTTGGCCCGGTAGCACCAACCGAGTATTGTTTAAATACCACAGCCTACTTGAGCGTTGTTGCTGACCATGTCCATGCCTCTATGACCACAGTGTACTTATCTCAAACTCTAATTAATCTCATATTAGTTTCTTTTACATGACAATGAGTTCACTTTTAGTCCACTATAGCATGCTTGGGATGTAGTGGAATGGGGATTTGCATCATGGTTGTTCAGCCAATAAATCTGCAGCGACTGTGTGAGGCTATCACATCAATATGGACCAAAATCTCAGCACTAGCAAGGTCCACCAAACAACATTTCTACAAGTCTAACTTCTTTTTTATGGTCAGCCTAGCTAAAAATCCATAGCTCAGTCTTCTGCAACAAAGCCGGCTGCAAGGAAAAACAAAACTTGCGTTTACAGTTCCAACACTCTGAAATGGGCTAGAACAAACTGAGCCTGTGGTGCTGTAGTTGCGTTCCTATTTTTAAGTTCAGCTCCTATGTGAAGGCTTTCCAAATGTTCAAACGACCCAAATTATGTTGTTCTAAAACAGAAACTCTTTCATGACAAAACAGACGCACTATGTAAAGACCCACACTGTCCAGTCTCTCAGATCTGCTCAAACTGTCCCCCTTCAACATCAACAACGTGTGCACATCTACAACTGACGGGGTATATATGTACTTGAAAAAAAACAACGACAAAAAAACTTAATCTGGGCGTAGCAATATTTTGACCCATGTCACCTTGGGCTTAAGGGGTTAACGTGCAAACTCCCCAGCACAAACTTACTGTGACCTTCAACTGTGCGAGTTTTCATCGATTTGTGCTGATGTGAGAAGAGCGCTGGTAATAGTCTGGAGAGCAGCTGTCATGTGCGCTTCCTCCTGCACGCTCCACCCAGGCAGCTCCCTCAGGTAAACCTCACTGAGTATTTCTAAACCAGACTATCTCCTGTGTGGTGCATGTAAGAAACTGCAGCCTCGGAAAAAGTCTTAACTCAATTCTCCCCAGCCTACGTCTGAAAACGACATCTCTCCTCCAGAGCCAATCTTTCACGTCGTTCCTCAAACCCTGAACTCAATCACACACACACACAAAAAAAGATGCATGTGATGTGATGCGCACACACATTCATCTGAGGCTCCAGGGGCCTCAAAGCCGACCTTTTCAGACAGACTCTAATGTAGCTAACCTTACATTAACTGACAGGCAATCCATCCAGCAGCTCTGTGTGCGTGTACAGTATGAGTGAGTGTTTTACCTTGGCGAGCAACATCTGTTGCTGAGCCTCTATTTGTTGTTGTTGTCTTGTGGCCATTTCTTGGAGCTCAGAGAGGGTCAGCTCCACACGGGGAACCTACACCGGCACACAGGGGTTATACATTAATACATTATGTACATAGAGACAGACAGTGTTTTCCCACAGTTTCCATCCATTACACGTCTCACTGTTGCTGTCGAGATGAAAACCCAAACTGTGACAGGAGATAAAGCACAGCTGCACACATATATCACCTCACATTTTAGGTCACTGAGCAGCTTCACTGAATGTTATTAGGCAGGCAGCTGGTGGCTCTGGAAGAGTGACAGAATTATAGTTTAGGGCTAAGAAAAAAAAAAAATCGCCAGAATCATCACCTTTCCCTCACAGTATTTCCTTACAGATACATCTCTGGGAGAGTGCTTTGTTCAGGAATATCTTTCTAGAGACTGATGTGTGTTTGCGTGTACGTGTGAGGGTGGGAAACTGGGAGGAATGCCTTTAGCAGACAACAGCGGAAGGTTTCAACCCAGCTACATCCTACTATTGTGCACATTTACTTATGAACACACACAGACACACACTGCACCTGGGGTGTTATATTCATTTCCAGTTCACAGTGAAGTCAGACAAGCTGGATATGACTACATCTGTCCTTTAATAGCCAGGTTATCAGAACACGGCTCCACGATTACAATACTTTTCAACAGACTGCGGTACAGTATTATAATATTTAATAATTATTGTTTGACAGTTTGACTCCTACAACACCAGAAAGGTCTGGCCTCTGGAGATATTTTACTATCAGCGTGTGAATGACTGATTATGACATAATACACTACATCAACTTAAGCCATCCTAGGACAGAGAAAATGGAGTTTCAACCTGGGATTAAAAATGTGATCATACTATTAAACCTCAGACAGGCTTACAGCTTCATTTAGTTTAACCCCCCATCCAGAGTAACATTGACGTATGAATATCATCCATCACTCCCATTTGGGCTGAACAAACTCCGCCTATTGTGCTGCAACTGTATTCTTATGCAAAGTTAATCTCAAATCTGAAGCTTTTCCAAATGTCAAAATGACTCAGATGATGTTCTACAAAAACAAAAACTGTCTTATGGGCAAATGAATGCATGAGCATTAAAGATGAAGACTCTGTACACTGATATCTATTGAAATTTGCTCCCATCAACATCTTCCATTTTTAAGACTCGTCGTGTGACTGTTGTTTCCAATTTTGAACCCCTAACATATGAGCCATCTGCCCACATCACCGGGCGAGAATGTGAGTTGTGAATAATTTTTAAAAAACTGCGAACTTTTCAGTTATACTTAGTTTATTGCATTACATCACCAAGAAGTATTTATTTCCTTGGTCAGCCTTGGAAACACTATATGATTAGTATAGTAGATTACTTATACAGCACAGATATCTATTAGGGCAGTTTGATCATCTAAAAGGAATCAGTCGGGACCTGAGATGAAACCCTGAGGAATACCAGAGTTAACAGATTGTGGTGGGACAACATTATAAGTAATATAAACGAGTATGGCAAAATCTAAGATGGTTATTAGTATAAATGATATACTCACAAACAGGGAGTATCAGAGTATCAATAACAGAGGTCTAAACAGTAAAACCAGTGCAGATGGGCCTTAAATGGGAATCGCTTGTAAAGGCCAGCAGGGGGCGGTTGCTCAAGAACAAGACAGATTGGATAAAATTCTTGGCAACTGACTCGTGATTACTTTAGTAAACCCTTTTCTCTTGAGTTTATGGGCTCAATCACTAGTTTCAAGTCCAATGTAATAAAACATGATGTTCATTTTATAAATTATGGTCCTTATTAGTGACCCTGAGACCTTGAGTATGCAATGTCCTTCGGTTTCTTTGTCATGTGTTTTCACTTGTGTCATCTGGTTTCAAAAAGCTGAAATGGTAATGGCCAAAATGCTTCAGAAACCAGCGATTACAATGTTATTGGCTGACATTACAGTGGCTACTTCCTTCTTTATACTCAGTCTTTGGATACACAGTTTTAAAGGGTCAGTTCATCTATGTTCAGTGCACTAAAATCATTTGTACTTATGTGAGTTCTGAGTTCTGATCATTGCAGGTTTTTGCCAGATGTCTGCTTGAAACCATGGACGTTTTTTTTTTTTTTTTGATGGCGCTCAAGGAAAAAAAAATCCCAAATCAGTCTTTTTATCTAAATAATCTACAGTCTTCTCTGTGAGAGCTACATTGGTGTCTGTTTGACTTGAAATGATTATTGGCAGTACTTCAGTGGCCTGAATTTGGGGACTGCTCCGATTATCGGACACAGAAACTGGAGACAGAAGAGTCTGTTGTTACTGGCATTTAATGGGACTTGGAGTAAGGGTTGAGTAGTTCAAGTAAAAATGATTTTTTTTTCCCAGTGATAAGACAGAAATAGTTTCCAAACGTTAAATTAGGGTCGAAGAGGACGGAGGCCACTGCAAATTTTGTTAAATGTGTGAAAAAATATTGATGTCTAAGTGGAGACTTAGATGTGCCATGACTAAGGGAGGCGCTGATGAATAACTCCATTACCCAGAACAGCGCCCTTGGGTTATGACACAAGTTATGAAATCAGTGAAACAAATTAAAATCATCATCAATTTAACTACTGGAAGCTCTAACTCTGGCAGCACTAGTGCTATGCTAAATATCAGTATTGGTGATTAATAGCCCTGACAGCCACACTGTGCTATAGACCGTGGACTGAGTTACGTAAATCTACATAAAACATAATGCACACATAGTGTATTCCACTGCAATACATCATGTTTTAGACAGTGACATTATGCACAATACACAAGGTTTTCCAGGCAGTGTCGCCACATATCATTAGCTAATTGCTGACTTTTGGGATCCTGTGGTTCCTCACTTTGATGTGCAACAATAATTGCATTGTTTTCTCATATCTCAAGAGTAATATCAGAGCCAATCAGCATAAGACACTTTAAGATTTTTTATATTTTTTAAGCCCTTTCAGTCTGATATCCCTTTAAAATGTATATAATGCATAGATGGAACTAGAGGGTGGGGCTTCAGACAAGGAGCAAAAAGGAGTTTTTATGCTTACATGCAGTAACCATACGTGGTTGATGAAGGATGCAGTCAGACTAGGCACACTTGTCTTGTGCCATGCCTGAGCCTGATAGCCTCCCCTCCACACAGACTAAACTAAAACTGCGCAACAGCATGCTTCAGTCTTTTCTGTCCACTGCTGAAACCACTGCTCCTTTCTCTCTCTCTCCTCTCAGTTCCTCGTTCTTTTAGTGCACGCTCTGCGTTTTTATCATGAAGAAAAGTGCTTTTGCAGAGCATCGTGAGGTTCATGAGTTTACGTATTTATGCTTTAATTGGTGTCGTTTCACATCGGCCTTTCTCGTTGCCTTATTGATTTATGAATTTGTTAACATGGCGATTTTCAGTTAAACTTCAGAAATGCTGTTGTTGGTGCCAAAATGTTGAAGTTCTACATAGTTACAACATGCACAACATGTCCTCTCGGACCCACCTGTTAAAGTCAGACAGGGCAGAATGGATGGATGGTCTGACTTTGGGGGTCAAACATGCTCAGGCACAGCTCTGATCACCTAAAGTGAGTATACACTTCATTTTTACTCTGATATAAAGCCGTCCAGAGACCATATATAGATTTCAGGCACCTAGTGACATAATGTGGCAGGACCTGAGATAAATTCTCTCAACTTCCACAGAGTGCAGGATGCCACTGATTGACATATGAACTCATGGTAAATACATTAGTGGCTTACCAAGGCAACCAGAGCCTAAAATGCCCACTAGTGACCAGCAGTCAGTTTCAAAGTCATGCATGATGATGGACTCGTTTCCAGTTGCAGCTTAATGCCCGTACAGTCACCTGGATGAGTTGCCAGCATTCTTTCTCATGCTACATGCATAACAATCCTACTACTGCCAGCACTGAGGACCTTTTAGAGCTGTTCATTTGAATATGTTTTAGTAAAATTTTTCCTGCCGTGTATGATTTTTGTTCCATTTTTCACGTTATTCATTAAATTATATTGTCCTCTTTTTTCTGCCTCTGCTCTCCATCACAGCCGAGCCTGCTCCTATCCTTAAGCAAGAAAAGTAATTGTTTTCTTTCTATTGCTTTTGTATCACGAGTGTTTGCACAGGAGTACACGTGTGTGTTATTTGAAAATATACTAAACTAGAATCCTGCAATGCATCAGCACTTTTCACATTTTGGAGCCATCGCAAATACATTTTAGAAGCATCTAGAAAAAGCTCTGAAGATTCGACTGCAGCTGGTTTCAGAAAAGCAAACATGATACGTATTGCTCTGTAAACACCCTGAGCAGTTTTGCTGACTTCCTCAGTTTAAAAACCTCCGTCTGCAGGACTGAGGCTGAGGATCGCTTGTCAGTCAAAGCCGTGTGTGAGACAGTTTTCCTGGGATTTCCTGCCACTGAAGTCCTCTAAATGCTTCAGCTTCTAGCTTTCCACTGATTCAAATGGGAACATGCACTCCAGCTACAGGAAAGTTAAAAATTCACCTGACACTTAGCCACAGTGTCATGCCGCTCATGCTGTTAATAACACATCCTGCAGACTGTGTTGCTACGAGCCCCCCGCTGACGTTAACATGCAGTTCCTACCAGCATCCCGCTGTGCTGTATTTACCTGCAGGCTGTCCCATGTGATCCTGCAGGAGCGGACTTTAATTTTGCTGCATTGTCCTTCAACAGTAAATTCCTGCACCAAATCTACCTCATTCCACTCCATCCTCACAAGCGTCTCAGAGACACGCCGGACCTTAATGCTTTCTGATGGAAAAGCGTTGCCAGAGGCTTGCACGAGAACCGCTTAAAGAGGAGGAAATGAGAGCGATCCTTATCACAACTTTCCCTCTCGTCCGCCTGGTGATGTGCTGAGATTTACGACACTCGCTCTTCCTCTCCCTCACTCGCTCGGCCCACACACCCTCCCTTCTCCTCCTTTCTCTCTCTCTCTCTCATAAAAACTCTCGATTATTAGTGCGTTCTCATGTGACGTTTTTACAGAGAGCAAAT